ATCACTGAAGGGCGAGGTTACAACAACGGTCAATGAGTCTCATAACCTTTGCCTTCTGCGGTCCTGTTCAACACCTAACATAAGTGCCAGTGTAATCCTTCAGTCAAAGACCAACTGAATCGGGAATACACTACAGTCTTTTTCCAAGTGGGGTCTCACTGCCAGTCTAGACTGTGAACGAATATTTTAGTCTTATAAGGAACCGATAGGTGATCTTTCTGTTCGAAACTCTTCGAACCACACTACCTCAATATAAGACATGGAGTATGTATTGCATAAATAAATAAACTGCAAACATATGTACTTTGACCGAAACATGATTGCCAGATCAAAATGGAATTGATAGAAACTGCAAAACATAGCTTTTACAACATACCTCTAACATGTTTGTGGACTAAATCAATATTTTACGAGCTGTAGGTACAACATGGTGTTTGCACCATTTACCGATATAGATAATCACAACAAATGTGTGACATTTGCAGCTGCCCTGATATCGAATGAAGACGTCTACTCTTATGTTTGGGTGTTGAAGAACTTCAAAGATGCAATGATTCATGAGACTGAATACATTGTCACCGACCAAGACCCCTCGATCGGCATTGCAGTTCCTAAGGTATTCGAAACTTGCAAACACCGTTTTTGCATGTGGCACATAATGAGTAAATTGGGGGACAAGGTTGGACATGCGTTGAATAGTAATGTCGAACTCAAACGGAGGCTGAATGAAATTGTGTGGGACAAAAATATAGAACCTGTCGAGTTTGAAACTAAATGGTCGGCGATAATGACTGATTATATGTTGGATAAACACAATTGGTTCACTGATATATTTGCGAAAAGAGAGTATTGGATACCAGCTTTTTTTCAGAGATGTCAAGATGAGTGGCCTAATGAGAACTACGTCAAGATCCAAAAGCGAAAACCATTGGTTTTGAAATTTCACAAACAGCCATTCAAGCATGGTCGAGTTCCTACTGCATTTCGACAGTGCGATGGACGCACAATGAAACACGCCGTTTATGCTTCACAATGATAGTGAATCCCGACATGCCGACTTGAAGACACCTTTGCCGATCGAGAAGCACGCATTGTCTGTCTACACGACAACCTTGTTCTACCGCGTACAGGATGAGATATGTGCCGCATGCTTCAATTGTCGATTAATGAGCTTATCCGAGAATGACAGACATACGGAGTTTGAAATCAAGGACGCAAGAGGTAAGACTTTCACTGTTACTCACGACGTCAGTCTCAATACATCTACATGTCCGTGCAAGCACTTTGAATTATATGGGTGGTTGTGTAGTCACGTGTTCGCTGTTCTAAGAAATTTGGACTCGAAAATTATACCATCGGCATATATACTATCGAGATGGACAAAGACGGCTATTAATAATCCCATGCACAATGTTCTCACTGATGCCGCTGCACAATTTGCACGTACTGATGATAAGAAACACTTGATGAACAAATTGTGGTCGGATATACATACATGGGGTTGGCGGAGCCTTGCATTGACCGGCTCACAGATTTTTCCAAGATCCTAGTGTTTGGTTCGATATACTGTACGTAACATAGTTTGCAGCGGAATTTAAAATTTTATAAGTATTTATCTTATAAATACTTATTCCG